TCTTTCAAAAAATTCTTCATTTGAATCATATTTTTTTGTAACAATGACATAGGTTCATCTAGATGAATTTAATGGAGGTACAATTTAAAGGCTTATAAGTTGATTCCAATTATTTGGTAGAACCCATGTCATTGTGAACAATTTAGCTTTAATAATGAATAGAATGATTTAGAGAGCAATTGCTCAATGACAATGTAAGAAACAAGAAAGAATATAAAGAGAAGCTTAAAATAATTACAAATGATTGCAGGGAGAGAGATCAAAGAGAGCTTGCAATAACAAGCACTAAAGCCATATATCATTTAGAGAGGATGAATGTTTTGTGTCCTCATTGTAATGCATTGTATTCTTTTGACAAACATTTAGCCTGGTCTCCAAAAGAGTCACCATTATTTGTACATTATTGTTCTCAAGGAGGTTTCTCTACCATCTCTATTTTCTTCGCCTTTGCTTTTGAGATGCTTATTTGAAGACTAGATGCAAGAATAAGGGAGTTTTGAAAAAATATCTGTTAGTACAATGTTAGACATACATTTACATTCTTAGGTGCAAATATTAATCAATATAAGAAATTAAATTCCATGTTGAATATTTTTTTTCAGAAGTTTTAATTAGATAGTTATTAGTAATTTATTTTTTATATTTTATATTTTATTTTATTTATCCATAGTTCCAAAATTTGACTTTAATACATCCTTGAATGTCTTAATACAGTTTTATGTCTTTTTGATTTTTTTTGATTTTTTTTTTTTGATATTTGAACAAAATTAATTAATTTTTTGCATATTATTCATAACAACAACATGGATTTAGCTATCCCTCTTTGTAGCTGAAACTTCTATTGTATATTTTATTTCTTTCTTTTTTAAAAACAAATTGTGAAAAAAACCATCTTTGATTGGCTACATATCACATTGTTTTCATGAAAAATGAAGAAAAAGTGAAGCAATAACTCAACTTTTGATTAATCAAAGATCAAAATTTGTATGTTATTGCTGAAGATTGCCAAAAGTAGCATTGCAAGATAATAGGGTATGGAGCTTGGAAGGTTCCAACAAATAAATAAACTAACAAATATTTGGCCACCTTTTTTGTGGCTAACTGCATGGATTTCTACTAGTTAATAGGTTAACACACAATAGCATGTTTATTTTTTCAAGCCCAAAATAAAGATCACAATCCATGATCTCACCCTTAAGATCTTGCATGACACAGTTTTATAATCTATATTGGCAGTCGTAGAGCTTAATCTCTTGGAGAAACCTCACGAGTTGAGCTGGCAGCTGCGTGGCAAAACCATGTGGCCATTCCCCTCACATACTCAAATTGTATCCTTTTCCCAATTCTGCTTCAAAAATGAGGGCAAGCTACTCCCTGTGCTGCACAATCTGCATTACATGCAGATGAAATGGCACTGCTAGTACATGCTACTGAGACTCATCCAGCGAATGAATCACTTGAAACACTTTGCCTCACGGAGCACCTCGCCTTGGATTGTATCAGGCTCCTCGAAGTAGGCATTTACTAGAGTCTTCTGTTCTTCATTAGTGATATCTACCTTGGTCCAGTCGTAGAGCTCTGCGTCATAAACCTCATCCAACACCATTTGTGGCACATCCTGTCCCCTGAACAGCCAGACTCCCTTGATCTTGTAGGGTGGGTTCACCGAGAATACACATCTTCCCGAAAGAGTACTTGCGTGCCAAGTCCATTCTTTGAAGGAATCCTCCGACCTTGTTCATAGTCACAAATGTTACTTGGTTCTCATCGTTGTATTTGTAATCACAGAACCACAATGACCAACCCTCAGCATCGAACATTTCCCAAAAACCTGTTGCACTCAACAGAACCACCACATGAACATAAGATGAGACACCAATCATTTGCGAAAAGAATGAGTGCAAATCATTAAATTGTGCCACAACCATAACTCAAATCATGAGTTCATTAATAGAAACTTACCACTAATAGCCAAATGGAAGTCCTTGGCCTTGGTGTTTCAATACAACCGCTTCCAGTTGTCCAAAACCATTGGAGAAGGGGGGAGTAAGTCCAGGGCCTTCTTAGTCTTCTTCACTGGAGCAACCTCATCATCATCAAAGGCTGTTTCAGGTTCCGGAGCAGGTTTTGGTGCGGGCGCCGGTTTCTCTTTCTTCACCTTCTCTTTCTTAGGGGTATTCTTCCCTTTGATACGCCAGAAGTAAGTCCATGAGTCCATTAAGAGGTAATTTTCTGTTCCTCAGGAGGCGGGGGTCCCAGAGGCTTGGCTGTCTGAGTGAACTCACCGAAGACCTTCTTGAAGTTAGGCTGGTTGATAAGAGTCCAGAAATACCTCTCTACGTGGGGGTAATCAGCAGTAAATTCTTTGGTCATTGCCACGTAGAATGGGAGAGACAAGTTGCAGGAGAGCACAATATCAGCAAGAGTTACCGACTCTCCAACCAGGTACGTCCGAGATGCAAGATGGGCGTTCAGAGCGGTAAGAGCTCTTTTTAGATTGTTGATGGATGAGGCTTCAATCTGTCAAAAGATAAAACTCGTGATAACATCGTCAAGCTGTAGAAACTAAAACATGCATAAATCACACTGAATTACTTAATTGTAAACATGCAGGAAACAAATCATCTGTTCCCATTTTTGTTATGTCACCTCTAAATATTGATCATGCTATCAGGGTCTACCTTTATCGTTAACAGATGGTATTCCTTAGTAGTGAGCTTTTCACCTGGTGTTCCAGTTCCTCGAATGGATTACAGTTAAATCACTGTATAAAAATAAGTTTGGCTTGCATATAGCACGAACAAAAAGCAAGAGAAATAAGATTGGTAATTACAAAATTAGAAATATCACCTATTCGCTGAAGAATGCCAATCCCATACGAGGATAAGCCCATCTGAGCGCATTGGTGTCGATCTCAAGACTACCGAAGTCGATCCACTGATCAACTAAGGCCTTCTCATAGGCGGTTGAACCGAACAACCCGACATTCTTGAGGCCAGCAATTGTATTCGACACCAAAAGTAATTCTCAGCATTCTACTCAATGGAACCGATACAGTCTGGAAAGAATATGCAACCCCAGCATCAAGACGTCAAAAATAGAACACTAACCGTAGTGGGCAATGGCGTTGCTTTCAGAGATGGACCCCTCCGGAGTCTCCAAGACTGGAGCCTGCAAGCACAAAAACATCATATCAGTTTAAAGTTCCTTACATGGCAGAAGTACACCGACACATGAAAATATCACTAAGCTTGTTGCGAAGGTTCAAAAGGATCGTCACAGTCGATGATATTTTCGAAACAGTTTCCAGCACGTTCTGTGCACTACGTTTGCTGGTAACATAAATAGTACCAGATTGACACTGAAATAAAGATAATCTCTCACCGAAATGTATCATCGCTGAAGAATTGCGTAGGGTTGAATTAGTAGTGCTAGATACGAATTTTCTTTCAATGAAGTCTCCGCCCTCTAGACGAATAAAGCAGAATCTCCATGAAAAGAAAATTTTGAATAACTGATACACAAACTTTCAATGCCTTTCATCGCAGGATCTTATAATAAACCGATCATTGGTACAGAAAAATTTAAGCAGCTCTCGCGCACACTCTCCATATTCATCTTCGAAAACAGACCTTAAATTCCGGCGCAGCATAATATCTAGCACAAAACTACGCTTATTCAATATAGACTAATCCATCCTCCAAGAAGTATTCTGTGGCAAATCACAGCTACGCCCTTACCCTAACCAGCGATCAGATTCAAAAGAATATATATTTAACAAAAAGAAAAAAATAAAATAAAATAAAAAACATAAAACATAAAAACATAAAAACATAAAACATAATTTTTTTTTTTTTTTTTTTGTGCCGGAATTTAAGGCCTTTCCCATAGGGTTCATCTTCAGGTACTCGGGAGATATGGTGTCGGTCAATTCGAAGCCAGGCGTGGTCTCCAATTTAAAGCCGACATACTCAGCAGCAATCAAAGACTTGCAGGCATTTTTGTTCAACTTATTGGCGTGAAGCTTCTGCTCACACATCACTCCCACATAGTAAACACACAAAAATCCTCATATCTCCTTAAATCCCTTCAAATTGCAAACCTAGATCGGATCCGAACAAAGTGCCACAGCGAGAAGCTCGAAATTATTTTCCCAATGATTCGACGCGAAGAACGTACCAAGCCGACCATGGCTGCTGCAGCGGGTGGTGCGAGCGGCAATCAGGGAGGAGGGATCGAAAGAGAGAAGGATCAATCAGCGATCATGGCTGGGTGCTTTGTACAAAGCACCCGACGTCCCGAGCCCTAATATGGTATGTGAAGTATGCTTAGTTCAGCATGGCGCTCTGATATTTTGATCATGCTTAAGCTTGCTTCATTCATTTACATCGCTGCGCTTTTCAGAGACAGTGTAGTGGAGAGGATTGGCTTCCAACGAATCAGCAACTATGTAATGTCATTATACTAGTGGTTAAGGAATCGTTTACCGACCTGATAGGTTCTCCGAATTTGTTTAAGTTTTTGTGCTGCGAATCGCTACATCTATTGTTATTGGTGTGTTTCCCAAGCTGAAGGAATTGGGACGCAATTTGATTGGGAGGAAACCTGTGTGGGGTTAGTTGTACCTTCCGCTGACCCTTTCAAAGGGAGGGATCTAGACTACAGCAAGCATGTGCAGAGAGGCATAATTTGCATTCCTGAAGGTGCTAACATCCAAACCTTGACGGCACTGAGATGTCAGCCTCGAACTACTACACTCATATTACCCATACTCTGACATCATACAAGTTTTTCAAGGGACTACTGAAACCAGCATCTAAATCCTTTAGTCCTGGTTTTTTCGAAGCTGTTACTGTTACTTTATATTTATTAAGGACGAAAGAAAACCCAAACAAACTCTGAAACAGATCATCATTAACTTGCACAACATCAGTGCATGCATCAAGACACTCTCGAAAGCAGAGCATACATAGGAAACACGGAAAGAGAATCCAAAACAGTTCCTTGAAAAAACGTGTTTGTCATTATAATTATACGCTACATCTGAGGTCATATCTCTAACTGCTCCCCTAAATGTTCAAGAGAAGCTTAATGTCAATGTCCACGCATTTGACACAGTCACTGCCAAGAGAGAAGCTTGCCAGAAATATCCGTAAGAAGCCCATCAATGAACACACTGTATGCTCAATCCTGATCGTAGCAGAAGATCTGCGTAGCAAATAATCAGGGTCTATCCTCTCAAAACTAGACCAGTTCAGCTGAACAAACAAGCGAACTGGAATTTTTAGGTAAATTGAAGGTGAAGGATAAAAAAATACCGAGATCAAATGTGTGAAGTCCTCTGGTTGAGGTCTCCACATACCCTCCCTTCATTACTATTGCTCCTCGTATCTGAAGATTGCGCACAAAGGACCCAAACGCAAGAAGAGCGATTTAGAATCGTTCTCTCTGAGTCTGAGTATTATCATAAATCCTGAGTATCCCCAAATTGTGTCACAGACACTGTTCTTCCCAAGACAAAGGCTTGCTCAGGTACTACCCCGCCTTCATTGAAGGACATGAAACTGTATGTAAGTTAACCTTGCTAGGGGACACAACAGCGCACTTCGCCTATATAATGATTGTTGAATGAGCAACAATTCTAGAACCTACTTCAGCAACGTGACTTACCGCACTGTAATGCAAGAGCTCTATTGAATAGAAGTGCAATCTAGTAGATTAATGTAAACCTGAAATTTCGTGTCACAGAACATAAGAGGAAAAGGTTATCCAGAAAACAGATGCTTGATTGAATTCTCCTTCGAAACACGGGAAGGTCACTCAGACCAGCCATTAACGCTCTACCCAACTCCAAGAGATAGAACTAAGGTGTATTGCTATGATTGGGATCCGGGGTGATGTATGATAACTAAACCTGCATTTGATTTAGGACATAAAATGCCCCACTTCAGAGAAACCATATGACTGTAAGCAATAGCGTAGCATTTAGTTTTACGCGAATATTCCCACTATCAAACTTAAGTGACACCAGAGATGTGTGAGGGTGGCTGCGGCGTGTCGCGTTCCCCTTCTATATCTGCCTGCTCCGAGTCAAAATAGGAATCCAAAATTGAAAGCCGTTCTAATGCACCAAAATCAGCTCGCAGCCCAATAAAGGAACTGCCTATTCTAGCACAGCTAGTTTGAGGCCAACGACAAGTTTCTCCTGGTCGCAGCCTACAGCTACTGTGGTATTCAGCCCCACAGGGTCTTCGAATTACATCTGTAGTTGAATCTGTATCTGGGCGCATAGACACAGACACTGAAAGCTGCTGTTCGTCGCTGTCATTCTCTCTTGAATTGCCACCTTGATTACTTGGATTCTGGCCTATATTGCCTCCACGCCCCGTATCCGGACTATCTTCATCTGAAGCATCTATAAGTTGTGGTGCAACACTATTTATACGAATCTTGCAACCAACAGCCTCAATAACCTGCTTCAAAGCTGCTGTCTCCCGTCGTCCACGCATTGCAGCAGCCATAGCTGACAACCGTGCTTGCTGTTCCTCCCGCAACTGTTCCATTAGCGCCCTCTTTTCTGCCAACAATTCTTGCACTTTTTCTTCTGCTTTTTCTTTTGCCTTCACAGGAGCCAACAAAAACTAATTTTCAGGAAAAAAATATAAACGATCAAAACTAAAATGAAATGCAGACCTTCAGCATACAAAAGTCCTCAACCTCCTATGGCTTCTATATGGTAATTGAGATGGCTTACGTTTCGGACAGACGAGAATCTCTCTGCAAGAACATGAGCAGCAGTTTCAAGATCACCACCATGAGTCCAGCCTACGGGAGGGCTGCCCCCGCTGTTTGCAAGGCTGGGGCAAGACCAGCGTAAAAAATACTGGCGCCACAAACTAGGAGCAGTGGCTGCAGCAGGTGGTAGAAGAACTCCAGCATTTTGAGCGCTATTGTAAAACAAGTTGTAGTGTTCATGTTCTCTCCCCTTTTGATCACGCAACTGCTTCAAATACGCCCACACACAAGCAGTGGACTCTGTGATTCCTCCTTGAACCCTTTCCTTTTCGCTGCACATCAGTCAACACAAACTATTATTTTCTCAAGGAAACTCTGTAGAGCTCGATAACTTCAGTAGCAATCTTCACATATAGTAAAATCTAACGTATTTGACAAATTAATCTCATCACAGAAAGTAGACTTAAAATATCTTCATTCAAATTTCCTACCAAAATACATGCTGACCCGCGGCACTGACTACATCAACCTACTAAAAACCGCACAAATCATAACCACATTTTAGTAGTGACAAAATGAGGCCGGTTTGCAGTTCCAACATGCATGAGGGATGACATGTCTATTTGGTCGAATTGACTTTTGCAATAACGATGAAAGCATAATTTCATGATCTTGCATGAGCATCGCCAAGATTGCAGGATAGATCACCTGTTGCAGAGGAAGTTCCCGAACCGACATGAAAGCACGCAATCCAAGAGCTCCACAAGGAAGGCCTAAAAGAATAAGAGAGTAATTATTACGAGACAGGCAATGCATTTGAGCTCCATTCAATAAATACTGTATACGGTGAAAACATTGTGCTCAAGAGACAAATTATAAGAACCATCACTAGCAAATTCGACTAAATACAGCATAGTAATTAACATTATAGACCGAAAAATAACTTTCAGTGGAGTGTGTTACAAGAACATCTCAATCCCAAAGATCCACAACATTAAGTGTAATATTCCAACTTACTTGGGTAAACTCAAAGGCACTTGGGTAAATTCGCAAAAGCTGTGCCACAGCATCCATCCACTGTACCAGTAGATAGTTCAGTCACAGAACAATCCCCCCATCGCTTTCCGAATCACAATATGCTAATAAGCAGGTCTTTGAATTCACAAATAGAATGGCGTAAACAAGTTACCTGCAAGAAAATTGGCGAGTACTGACTGGACTGTGCACCAGGAGAATTATTGCCCGCAGGTGAAGACGAATTCTCGACAGCCGCTCGCACTGGAGAGGTGGAAGGCTGCCCCGCTTGCCGCATTACTGAGCTAGTTGCATTATTCAAGTTCCGTGTCCCAGTGAATGTAGGTATTCCAAGTCGCTCAGAAAACATATGCCCAAAAGCCAGCCAATCTTTCTCTATCAGTGCCTGCTCACAAACCAGCCATTTCTTTCATCAGGTGGAGGCAATCATAAGGCACGATGTTCTTCACAATCAAGAAATGAAGGATTTATTGCAAATACAGCACTCTTAATTGGCTACCATGACGCAAGACCTTCACATTTTCAATAAAAGATACCTAACAGTTACATATTTGAGACTCAAAATAATTTAAATTCTTCTACGCGTTACACATACAGGATCCGCATTTCAGGTGAACTCACGTTGACATAGAGCACAAGGAAGTGGCGACCTACCATATTATGCATAATATCATACTATTACAGTATCATACTAGCGGTGAATCATACAGATACAGATAGATCGACAACTCAAGATAAAACATACAAACTTACCTGAAAGCCCTGAAATGTACGATAGTATGGATCAAGGAGAAGGCTTGCCAAACAAACCAATTGTGCTGTTCTGTCCCATCCATCACTGTAAAAGCACAAGACAGCTTCTAAATTTTCGAATATGTCATACTCAAAATGGAGCTAGTTGATGGAAAAATTTAGCCCGTAATGATCTGTATGTGTGATTGTATAAACATGAACACATATATATATATATACAAATGAACAAATGAACAAATGAACAAATGAACGAATTAGTTGAGTGCTTTCATCCGGAAACACAGATGCTTGTTCAGATACGTTCTAAAAGTTTGAGTTTCACACTATGTCTTACCTGCAATGAACCAAGACAGAGGCACCCTCAAGGTGGATACGGGCTGCAATCCAAACTGCACTAGTCAGAATCTTATGACAGTGAAGTAGCCAGCCACTATCCCCCAACGCGGAAGCTGCTCCGGCTACACTAGCCACGTTCCCTCCAACCCATGCGCGTCCTCCACTTCGCTGCACCCAAACTAAGATAAGTCCAAGAAAAGAGCCAGATAGAAGTCTAAAAGATTAACAAAGGTGAACAGCAGCTTCCAAGCAGAGGAATTATATTTCCAAAAATCAACGAGTATTCCTTGCTTTAAGTTGAAACCATTGAAATAGGAACCATGCATACCAATAAGGAAGACGATCCATCAGAGGAGGCCGCACCATGAATGTCCAAGAAGTCACGCATTTTAGTCAAGCTATCACGCATCCCATGAATGTTATCGATGCCCAAGAAAATTACCTATTGCAACATTTCCAAAATACTCGTCAGCAGAGCTTTATACAATGCACATGGCATTCCATGACACAAAATCTATCGTACAGATCTTGCCTCAGATTGTAGATAATTAGCTGATGATTCCGATCCGCCACCCGTCACACCATTGGCTAGTGCATTCTTCCTAGGTCGAGCATCAGCAATATACAGTTTCCTGCATTCATGTGATTGAGGTATTTAATTCACCGTTCAATACCTAGCACTCAGCAGACCCGACACTCGCAACTTCGTATTTCCAATCAAAACCTGAAATGCAAACGAAAAAAATTGCCAAGATATGTAGGCTAGGGCATCTAAGAAACAATATCTATCTAACGTGCTTCCTTAGATTCATGTGTGGAACGATTTTAGTATGGAATGACTGATGAGTAATACTTCTTCGGCACAAACCATGCCTAATTTCGATATTTACACAATAACGTGAAAACTGAAAATGTTAAATGGAAAAGACTTAACAATAATGGTTCAATGATCATCTATCACGATTCTTGTGGAACTAAAGCAAGAAGAGCAGGACAAGAATCGTTACCTGCGTTGATTTGCAGTATTACAAACAGCAGCCACAAGTTGTTCATCTTCCTTACTGCATAACATGAAGACCTATGAATGTCAAATGATTTCGCTCTTCGCGCACAACTTATTAATCAAATTGAAACGCCAAATAATACTGAAACTTCAATCAATGGTCCCACCGCCTATTTCTTATGTCTAACCTACATTCATTTCCACCACTATGTCACTCGATTACACTGGACACACGCCATTCCTACCTGCGCGAACTCACAAACCCTGTGAACGGTTGAGAAGATCGAGCAAGCACAGCTCCATTATCTGCATATTCGGCGAATGTCAACCTTGTGAAACTAAACGAAGCAAGAAGTTTGGTAGCATCCGTTAGTCATATTCAACATGACAAGAATATGGATAGAAAGCAAAAATAAAGTGAAGAAGATAAGAACTTACCAGGGTGCTGCCAGCAAAGATGCGCGAGCCTACCCCTTGAACGGAAAAGAGCAGCCTGCTGAACATCGTGATCACTGCAACAGAAATCCAAATGTTAGATATACAATGACCAACAGCAAAAACATTGATTGTAATCAGGATGCATGCATACCTTCCAGTGGCTCGAATAACAGCAAAAAGAATATAACAAAGCATTGACACTTTTCTTCTTCGAACATGTTACTGCGTGCTAAAATGAAAAGAATCAAACAGCACAAGCTAAGTGAAGCACCTAATACATGCTGGCATCACCAAAAGCGATGGATATGTTGGACAAATACTGTAATTTGAATTCACTTCAGAAAGTCGCCAGGCACTGCCACGTTTGGATTGTTCCATCATATTCTGAAAACCATGGGTATTCCCTGACATTAAGCGGATATACTCCGCGCGCAATCGTTGGCGTGGGTCCCCGCTAGAGGGGTAAGCGTCTGAAAAAGTATACAAATCCCATAATCTTGTAGGTCTAGTCCGATATGCCAAAGCTTCGCGCACCTTCCTCCTCTGTTAAGAAAAGAAAATATTAAGTCTCATGATTACTTCACTTCAATTACGTATATATATATATATATATATATATATATATATATAGTGTGTGTGTGTGTGTGTGCATGTTTATATACACACATACACATAACACGCAACAAAAACAACAACAACAACACGCGGTTCGTCATCAATGGTTAACAAACATTTTTATTCTTGCAAAAATTATGGTCAATTCCGAAAGGCGATAGCCAACATAATATAATCATGTTAAATATTGTCTAACAAACAATCTTAATCAATAGAGCTTCCAAGAAAGAATCATGGAAAACTGACAAATAACAGTTCTACTTGTAAGAAATAACATGTGAACCAAGCACTTGTTGTAGATATTTACCTGCTTAGTGTGAGGCAAAAAACCAAAAGTAATAGTTCGTAAATCCTTCCCTTCACCCACCAAACAGCAAAAGTTCATCAATGAGTCTGAAGCATTTGCCCACTTATAGTATCCATCAAAAAGAAAATGCATAACCCGCAGGGACTTAGTTCGTACAATTAGGTTTTCCATGTAGTCAATGGATTACAGATAATAATAAGAAATCTCTTCAATCTCGACATCGTCTTGATTGAACAATTAAGATGGTGTAAATTCACGGTACGATTAAACATCACGCACCAACTATTGTGAGCAAACGCCTTGAAGCTGCACTTGAAGAACTTAAAGGTATTTTTGCAACCTGCAATTCAGGTATTCAACACTTCAAGGATTGAACATTGAAAGGATCAACTTGACCACAGTTTGCGAAACACCCCAAAACTAGAATACTGTTACTGCACACTCAAATTATAAATTACTGCACTGAAAAGGAAACAAGTGTGGCCATGTTCTGGAATAGTAAACGCACAAAGATGGGGTGAGGTGATACAAGCCCAGTATTGTGAGATACAGCTGTAAAATGATCAAGTGATTTGGCTATTGGACACTAAGCCACAAACTTTCGCATAAATAACCAAATGATTAGCACGTAAATCAAAACAATAACTTCACCTGTTTAGCGAAGGTTTCGATGGTAAGTAAGGGAATAGTTCCAAGAGGTAATGGCTGCTTTGCACCCCCACCCTGACTCATCCACAAAGGTTATCAAAAGTAAGACGATATTATGTTTCCTAGATCAACACTACCAGTAGAAGCAACAATACTGCTTTACAAGATTGTAACACAGAAGTGATCGCGAGCTTCGCGAGCTTTTAGGACCAGACAAACACTGAAGATGTCCACATTAATATTCCCAACCCCAACGACTATCTACATTCACAAGAAAAGCCTTGTACACATGTCACTTGCAAATAAATACATGGGAAGATAGCCACAACGTCATAAGACATACCAAAAAAACTAGTCGGAAATTTGTAACAAATAAGGTGCCGGCTATCTCCAAATTCACAAGAACTGCCCCACGTGCCTGCACAGAAGCAAATTTTACTGCATGCGCTTTCATAATTCAATACACACTTTCCGCAGAATCGCTTAAACATGTCATAACTGAGCATACCAACCAAACTCGCGCTGCAATCTTAGATAAATCTCTTAACACCAAGCCAAATAGTTGAGCTGGTTCCCTCCTATCGCTGTGTTCCCCACACCGCAATCTATCAATCTCAAACCTCGAAATTTCTTCAAGCTTGTCTAGGTTGCTACTTCCCAAATTAATTCCTAAGCCTAAAAGCTACCAATCCGCACAAACCACTGCTTGCTGGGGTATAAAAGAAATGGCCAACAGAAAAAGAGCATGAAATTAGCAGCGAATGTGAACCTCTTCGACAACTGCCTCGGCCGGCAACAGAAACCCGTCCCCAGCGAGAATCAAGGATCTCCCAGAGCTCTGCAATCCAAACCCCGATTCAACCTCAATCCCAACACCTCCAATGTAACACTTCATCATTTCTTCTCCCCGTAACAGCTAAAAATCACATTCGCCCGCCAGACCCCCAACCTCAACCCCAACACCTAAAATCACCCAGAACTTCTAAAAACTCCGCCCCGCATCTCCTCACCTTCTGCGCCACGCGGTTGCCAACCTCGACAGGCGTCCAGTCCAAGCCATCGATCCAGCTCTCCCCCGTCGACACTATGTCCACACCGTGCCATCCCACCATCGCTGCAACCCTCTCCAATACTTCTACCAACCCTCCATCCTCTCTCTCGCTCACTATCTTAATCTCTCCGTCCCAAAAATTAAACCCTAATTCCTCCTACACGAAATCTGCGTGCTCAGGAAAGGGGGGGGCAAGGGAACACCAGGACAGCCATGGCTCATCGTCATCGTCAAAGCTTGGAATCGACATCGCCACAAAATTCTTCTTCGACAAGGATAGTGGAAGGAGAAGGGGCTCTTATTCCATTCTATTTTATTGGCAAAGCTTTTTGAGGCTTGTACGCTGCATGCCTACAGCGTCGTCGAGTGAGCCCACAATACTACGTTAACAAAGCCCTCCTCCTTCTCTACCTGTTGAATAAATGTTACGCCAGCTTGGCACTGCCCGTGGATCCCATTGGAAGCGACCCCTTGCCCCCCGATGCTGACGTCCCCTGTCCCCGGGTCCACGTCAGCACCCCCATCTTATCTCGTCTCCTTAATGGAGCTCTTCCCCACTCCAGTCGTTTTTTTGTGTGCTCTCTTTTGCAATTCCTTATGCTTTGTTTGTGATGGTAATTTGGTTGTGTGGAACAATTTATTCTATGGGTTTGGGGTTGTGTCGGATTTATTAAAATTTATAAAACATTAGTGATGATGATGACGACGATGACAATGGAAATGATTTCATGATGGTATGATAAATTAATTTGAATGATTTGGCCCAAGGATTTCACATCTAACATGAATGTTCGTTATTATTAACAAGCCTGTGATAATCAATTGTTGAGTTTCAGTCACAAATCCAGAACATAAAGCAGGACAGTTCATAAAATATTGAAAAAATAAGGTTAAATTACAACTTGCATTTGCTTAATTTGTAATAGGTATCAAAATATGTTGATCCTCAATCATTATATTATTTTAACCTTTATCTGTGCTAATACCATGTATTCATAAGAATCGCAAATTATCATAGTGCACTGATAAAAAAGATGAAAGTGGGGTTACATTTTCATAAAATTGTATGTGAATAAATAACTATATAACTCTATATATACATGATTTTTCCATGTAATGATTTAGAGTGAAATCATCTGCATTTTAGCTTCAACTGTCATAGAATCCATTTATTTCAAAAACATACATGTACCTCAAACAAACTATTTAAATTGCAAATAAAATAAATTAAGTACTCTTATTTTTATCATTATTAAAAAGTACAATGAAGTTATTTTTAAAACATATTAAGACGTGCATACATGAACAAATGATAGATAAAATGAAATTTTTCTCAAACAACTGATCAGAAAATGCATTTCATTTAGGATAACATTATATTTTGGTCATACTCATTAACCTTATTTTAAAGTATGTCCATATAATAGGTGTTTTTACCAATTGGAATTTCAAGAACTTTTATTTACCTGGTGTGTTTTCTATCTGTTCAACATGGCATTGTTACATCTTTTATGTTGTTTTATCAAAGAATTGCAACAATTCGAGTAAATTTCAGATGTTATTTTATTTTATTCTAAAGAATAGGCAATAAATGTAAGAAGATCTTAAAGTGATCCAATCATTTATTAAATCAATCCACCCTAATTTAACTATATTAGAAAAATGGATCATCTCTAAAAATTGTCATTAAAATCATGGTCCTCATCTCAACCCCCTTTATTCTTAGTTCCCCCCCCCCCTCTTTCTATTCCCTACCTTCATCTTAACATGCCTTTTTTCCTATTCTAATTCCTTGGTATCCTCTTCTTCTCTCACCTTAGTTAGCTTTGATTCCTCTTGGTCCTACTCCTCTTCTTCAATGAGCAATACCAGCTCCATATTCTCTAGATTCCAAGGCACATATAGCACAATATCTCTCGTAAATGGTCATCTTAATTTGAGATCCTATAATCTAAGATGGGACCATCCTCCTTCCACATTCAAACACACATTTTTTTTCTTTATTTATTATTTTGTTGGAAGTTGAAAGGTTAATTGAGATCTAGACAAACAAATAAATATGTATTTCTTCAAATTTTATAGGATATATAAGGTAGAAAGCAAGAAAAATATGATAATAATATACACTTGCACGTAGTGCCCTATGTACATGATGCTAAACAAGAATGATTCTTAGTGTCGGTACTAGAAGTATGAAGTGCTATTGGACGTTACTTTGCTTCTATTACCAAAAAGATAATACCTAAATATAGCAATAGTCCATACTTAAGATAGTCTTATAAATAAAGATAGTCAATTATGAGCTAATATTAAAAGAAATAAAATATATATATATATATATATATATATATATATATAATAAAAAAATCATAAAATTACTCTAATTCATTATAAAAAAAGCTCAAATGTTATTGACAAGATGATGAGGACTAATGAACAATAATTTGTTGCTTTAGATGAAAAGATGTATTGTATAAATTTTTTTATTTTTAATCTTTTTTATATATATTTTATATTATAAAAATAGATCAAGATTCTAAAAAGAGGTTGTGATCCTTAAAGATCATATTTACAACTTAATAACATACATGGAGAAGCTCAAAGAAACAAAAGCAATCTTAGAGCAAAAAAATAGATTGTGTTGTTTGTTAAGAAGGACTAGAGGGGCTTTTCATAATGCAAGGAGAGGAGACTATCTTTCAAAAGTGCCTAAGAGTATACTTTGTACTTTATATACATGCCAATATATATATATATATATATATATGTATATATAGATATTTATTATACTAAAGAATTTTAAAACAATAACAAACATCAAAAGAAATATCCCATTTGTAATAAGATGATACATTGAAAGCTCAAGCAATTATATCTTTCATGGTACTATATTCTACATCTATATATGTGATAAAATTTAATACAAATTAGTCTGTTTGAATTCTAAGTCTCACATATCTTGGTTTTAGGAGTTTGACATTAAATTGATGTTTCTTTTTATTCAAATAAATGGAATTTGGCTGATAAAATTACAAATTTTGATTTTTCTCACTACATGGAGAAATTTAAGGCTTGAATGAATGTTATGGACATAAATATTTATTTCAATATTTACTTATATAGTTAGATAGAAGTAAGAAAATATAGATTAATTTCATAATATCTTCTAGAAATTTTTTTTAAAAACTTCATAGATGTAGATTTCATTGTATATATGTTTATAATTGAACAATAGGTTAGAAACTTGGTCAACAAGTTAGCCACATATAACACATATTGATAGCTTGTAGAATAAGCCAACTACGTGGCACACATATAAAAAACTTGTTTTACAAGTTCAGACATGTATTTAGCAAAATCAACACATATTGGAGGTCCTATAGAAGATTGCCACATAAATCCTACTTAGAAAGTATATATAAAGGCAAGAGTGAGGCCTTCTTTACTTATATCAATGTCTTTTTAGTCCTTAGTCTTATTTTAGGACTTTTTAGTCTTCTTGTCTTTGGCAATAGCTATTCTTATTCAATATATTATCATCTTTGAGTAATTTTTTAGTCTTTTTGATTAACACAAGAGGGCATTAAGATTTTTTTTCTTTAAAATTTATATCTTTGATAATTTATCAAAAGTATTAATTTATTATTTTTTTATTTTTAAAGTGAGTGGATTATTCTGCTTCTATTGTTGTATTTTGAAGGTTGCAAACTATTCATTTTTAAACAAATATTTTAATTTTCTAACATTAATTTTTTTTTCAAAGAAAGTGGATTATTCTTCTTTGCAAAAAATTTCATTTGATATTGGAGGTTACAGATTATCTTCTTCTAATTTAATTTTTTGAATTTGTTTGAATTTTTTATAGAAAGAAAGATTATAGATGCTACTTTCAATAGAAGTAAGAATAGATTTGCAACTATTGCAGATCTTCATGAAATTGTCCATACTTTGAGAATAAAAATCTTACATATTTCCAACATGAATCATAAAGGTACTATTCCTACACCCATAGAAGAAATCAAGAATAAACTTCAAAATTTGTATGAAATAAGTATGTAATTAAGAGAAGCAAGCAAATCAAGTTGGCAATTGAATTCGAGGAATCTTGCTATTAAAAATACGAGGTAAAGATAAGTATGCCAAAGAAGTTTGATGGAACAAGCTAAATTTTTTGAAGATTTCTATAATAAGTAAAGCTCTATCTAAGATTATATCCATTTCAATATCTTGATGAATTTACTCAAGTTGGAATTATCAAAGGTTTTATCTCTGAAAATATTTTCTTTTTTTATTTGCACGTTTGATGGAAAAAGATTCATGACTATTTTATGATTTGAATTCATTCTTAGAAGTACTTATGGCTACATTTGGAGAAAGTAATTGAGAAAGGATAGCAAAGACTAAGCTTATATTGCTATAGCAAGGATAACATTTAGCTACTATATATGCTGTTATATTCCAAAATCTTGCTTACAATGTAGATTGGAATGACAAAGCCTTTATCAATCAATTTTGATATGGATTGAAAGTTAATATCAAAGATTTATTATTCACAATGCCAAGAAGAGACTCATTAGAGCAATTTATTGCTCAAGCCATTGCATACAATAATTGACCCTTCAAAAGATGCCAAGAATAAAGATTTGATTATAGAAATATAAATCAAGCCATATAGACACCTTTTAAGTTTTTGAAAGCTTATTCATTTATGCAAGAGCCTATAAAAATTAACACAATATGTTTTAAATTTCTTATTGAGTAAGAAAAGATTTGTCATTGTCAAAAAGATTTGTATTTATAATATAGAGAATCCAAGCACACTACTTAACATTGCATAAAAAAATAATGCAATTATAAAATAAGAAGTATCATTGCTAAAGAAGATGAGGTGTTGGAAAACAAAATTTCACTAGTTATAATAGTGACCATGCGTAAAACAAGACTAGACTCTCTAAGATATAAAATCTTTTGAATCCATAGCAACATAAATTTTTTCACAATACATGACAGAGGAAACCAGAATAAAACTGAATACAACCAAATAGAATGGAATATTAAAGGTAGAATAAAACAAAAGAGAATAAAATTAAATAGAATAGAAGAATACAAATCAAACTTCATTGAAAGAAAGGTACTAAAGCTATACTTGATCAAATATCCAAATAAGGTTGATTAATTCTATTTATACTTTATTCAACTAACTTGAAATTTTTTGAATGTTCGTAATAGAGGGCTCTATCAAAATAACTATTTCTTTTAGAATATTTTAGAGGTGGATCCTGTCAAGGATATAAACTAAAAGATGATGCATAAATCAATGAAATTTTTATAAAAAAAAGTGACAAAATAGAAATAAAGAATTACATATATTAAAAAGAAATTG